GGCCTCTCGAGACAACAGAGTTAGACAGTGAGCAGTGTGGAGAGACTGACAGAGAGAAGCAGAGGCACAGAGACAGGTCAGGTTCTCTGTGTTTCCTGTTGTTGCAATAAAACTCAGCTGATCATCTCACGGAGTACCTTCATTCTTGGACCAGCGTATTTCTCTCTGTTGTTAGATAAATAATCCAGCTAACAGTTGGCGTTGTCGCAGAGACCACTAGGAGATCGACGGACCAAGGCCACATTGCAGGTGGATTGATATGAGTGAGCAAGGACTGGACTGCTCAGGACTGTGACTCCAGTGGATGAAAAGAACCTTTTTATGGTAAATTTTTTTAACAACAGAGATACGCTGGTGATGATTGTGATGGATGGTCTTGAATAAGCAAAGAACATTGAATTTTTATTTTTGGCTGTTGAAGAACCTGAGAAGATTTTTGAAACATCATCTGCTGAGAGTGAGTACAGAAAAGCTTCAWMATGCCTCCTTACTTTTCCAAAGAGGATTTCTGCCAGCTTCTCCGAAAGGTGACTGTGTTGGAGCTCACGATTCATCGTTTGGAAAAGATGAATGCTTTGGAGAACTCAACATGTGTTAAAATGGGTGAGAAGGCTGAGATGAAAGATCAACATGGAGAGGAGATGGAAGCTGCTTCTGAGTGTGAAGCTGTATGGAACTCTTTTTGTTCCAGACCAAAAAATCTCAGGAAGGATTCAGCTCTTAGATGACAACGAATGGCCAGAATTACAGAGAAATGTTTTCTCTCTACCAAAAAGGAGAAGAAAGCAACAGGCTATAATCAAAACACCTGATAACAGCCAGAGAAATGAAGCAGTGTTTCTTCAAAACAGATTCACACCACTGGAAGAAACTGAGCCTGAACAAAGTTCCCTATCTGTTCTCAGTGAGGGATCTGAGACCAGATCCAGCTCAAAGCCAAAGCAAGTCCAAAAAGAGACTTTCAAGAGTCAAGAAATGCTGATCATCACAGATAAAATGGTGAATGAGATCAGAGGCTTCTGGAACAAGAAAAAAGTCAAAGTTCTGAGTTTTGCTGATAAAGTGTCCGACCTCACAGAGAAGATTCTGCAAATAACAGCAGAGTATCCAACTCTGAATAAGCTCATCATTCATACAGGAAGTGATGAAGTGATGAACCGACAGTCAGAAATCCTGAAGAAGGATTTTATTCTGCTGCTGAATGCAGTTAAAAATCTCAACTTGGATGTGTTCCTCAGTGGGCCTG